CAAGGCAACTATGATTTGCTTTGACTGTGACATAATTTTATAAAAATTTTACAGAGTCTCCTCTAAAATATGGACAAAAATCACCTGAAAATTTTTCAACTTTCTCAAACCAATATATATAATTTAAAACAAGGTACATCAGCCCTTCCAAACACAACTATTCAAAATAAGGTACGTTGGAATGAAATTTACACTTCTTTATAAACCAGAGGACTCCAAATGCATTACTTATACAAAATTATGTAGTGAGTCCATGATATAAGCTGAAAAAAGATGCATCTATACCAAAAATTATGAACGGTATAAACTGACAAAGAGAAACAAACAAATAACAACAGAGTGGCTCAATTTGGTAATCTAACAGGCTTCGATGTGACTCAACACAGCTACGATCTGATAAGAAAAAGGGAGAAAAAATATATGAGCTTATAATTCAGTGAGTGGATAATTTTGTAAACAAATATACTATTTCCATTTATGCTAATTTTCTAAAAACTGGTTTATGATAAAAATATCATTCACAGTACTTTAAGCTAAATCTTTATTCTTTAAACTGAATAAGCTAAATTCTGCATTCTGAAATTTGATAAGCTGTATAATACTAATAAATCACACCAAAAACGCACCCGAAATAACTATAATCATGTATCGGTTGACACCGATAGACATGACAAAGCTATCCAATTCTGAAATTCTATAATTCTGTAATTCTAAAATTCTGGTCACACACGCGCAGAGCTATCTGGTCATACACAATGGAAAACATTCACAATAGTGTAGAACGAATAAAATCACCATAACTGGTCATACACTGTGGAAACACGTTCACACCAGTGCAGAGTGAGTAAAATCACCTGAGTACTTTCTGGTGGTTTTTAGAAAATAAATTTAAATATGTTGTACTATTTAATACTGAAATAATGTGCTAATGAAATGATTTAACTGAAATGAATTTAACTTTAAAAACAACAGTTTATAAATCAACTTTATTCTAAAAATCATGCTGTCAAATCAACTGTAGGAATTAATAAATTTTCTAATTCAATATATTTTTTATAAATACTAATTTCTGAAAAATAAGTTTATACCCACTCACACAATACGAGCTACAGACTAGGCCGGTCAGTAAGCTTTTCCAATTTCTTCGTCACCACATGAAATAGTTACAAAATAACTAATTTAACCACTATTAAAATCAAGAAACCTTTTATCTCTAATGATATAATAATTAAACTAAATTTCCCGAGACTTGCGAAATTTTCCTAAATTTCCTTTAATCAATTTGTAATAATTCTTACTTTCTAATACTTTCAGAACTAAGCCACATACCCAAATTTACCTTCATCCCAAACATAAAAACAATTTCTTCTTCTATTCTTGTAAAATTTGAATTCTCTCTTGCACCAATTTAATTTACATCTTGTTCATTATATTAATCCTTTCAAGTGTGTATTTCATCAATACTATAATTTCCACTAATTATACCTATTCAAGAACTCAATTAAAAACTCTAGGGTTTACCAAAATTAATATTTCTTGCCTTGATATAAAAATCTTTCGTAAATCAAAAAGACTGGCTTGAAATCATATTCTTCCCATTAATCTGAAAATTAAACTATCAAATTAACCCAACTACTTAGAAACCTTGAAAGTTTAATATAAATTATACCATAAAACATTTACCTCTTCTCCTCTCTAAGAAATGAAGAAACTGAATAATGGAACTCAAGTTTTCTTCACTCCCCCTCCCCCTTTTTTTTCCACCTTCTTTTTCTCTTTTCTTTTCTCTTCATTCTCTTCCTCTTTCTCAATTTTTTCTGGCTTCTACAAGCTGTCGTCCAAGTCTCTCCCTCTTGTGTGTACATATCACAAAACAAATGAGACATTAGTTAATAACTTGCCACTTGTCCTCCAATAATCCAATTTTGCAATCAAGTCCCTTCTTTTATGTTTTGTATAAATTCTAGTCATTAATCTTTCCATACTTATAAACTAAATCTCCCAAGTTTAAATGATGGCCATTTTAAATCCTTAAGTAATATCAATAACAAAATAAACCCCAATAAAATAATTTGGTCAATTAAGTCCCAATCAAATTTTTTATTTCATTTAAGTCCCTAGTTGACCTTGACTTTGACGAGTTAATCTTTGAATTTCGACTAAACAAAAATGGGTTATAACAATCTCACCTCCTTAAAAGAATTTCGTCCTAGAAATTCATCTAGCATTTGATTAGGTAACGAATAGATGAGGATATTGAACATGCATCTAATCCTCATGCTCCTAGGTTGCCTCTTCTACTATTGATTCTTCCAAAGCATCTTTACGAGTGAAATTGTCTTGTTCCTCTAAATTTGCACCTTTCTGTCTAGAATTCTCATTGGCTCCTTTGTATAAGTCAAATTCTCCTTCAAGTGAACTAGATGAGACTCTAGACCATGAGAAGGATCTGCAATGTACTTGCGGAGCATGGAGACATGAAAAACATCATGGATCCTAGATAATTCAGTTGGCAAATCTAATCGATATGCAACTGGACCAATTCGCTCAGTAATCTTATATGGTCCAATGTATCGCGGTCTCAATTTTCCTCGCTTGCCAAATCTCGAAACTTCCTTCCAATGTGACAATTTTAAAAATACTTTATCTCCAACTGTGAATTTCAGATCTTTTTTGTGCTTATCTGTATAACTTTTCTGTCTATCTTGTGTTGCTTTCAACTTTTCTTTGATCAATTTCACATTTTTTAAAGTCATTTGAACCAATTCAAAGCCTACTAACTTCCTCTTATGAGCTTCATCCCAACAAACTGGTGTTCTGCACTTTCTACCATATAAAGCTTCAAAATGAGCCATTTCTATACTGGAGTGGTAAATGTTATTGTAAGAAAACTTCATCAATGACAAATGTGAATCCCAACTACTTCTGAACTCTAAAACACAAGCCCTCAACCTATCATCAAGAGTCTATATGGTCCTGTCCGACTAACCATCTGTTCGAGGATGAAAGCTGTACTGAAATGTAGTTTAGTACCCATGACTTCCTATAAACTGGGCAAGAATTTAGATGTAAAACGAAGGTCTCTGTCTGACACAATAGATAATAGAGTACCATATAAGCTCACTATCTTGTCCACATACAACTTTGCCAGCTTATTTAAAGTATAAGTGGATTTGATTGGCAAAACCCTAGCAGACTTGGTCAAACGATCCACAATAACCCAAACACCATCATGACCATTCTGGGTCCGAGGAAGACCAAATAAAAAGTCCATAGTAATGTGCTCCCATTTCTATTCTGGAATTAGTAATGGCTATAAAAGTCTTGCTATTTTCTGACGAATGGGCTTTACCTGCTGGCAGATAAGACATTTGGATACAAAATTTGTTATCTCTCTCTTCATTCCAAGCCACCGGTAATGATCTTTCAATGTATGATACATTTTAATATTGCTTGGATGCATAGTATAAGCAAAACTGTGTGTCTCTTCCAGAATCTCTTTCTTTAATTCGGGAATATCTAGAACACATAACCTATTACCCATAGCCAATGCACCATCATCTCTAATCACATAATCCTTTCTTAGTCCATCATTGACTTCTGCTTTCAATGTTTTCAATGCCGGGTCTTATGATTGAGCTTCTTTAACCTTATCAATTAAAGTGAGCCTTACTTAAAAATGAGCTAATAATGCCCCAAAAGTAGTACTGTGAACTGAGTATGCAACTTCTTGAACTCACCGATCAAGGAAGCATATTCTGCACTAGATAGAGAGGAAGAATCAATCTTTCTACTAAGAGCATCTGAAACTATATTAGCTTTCCTTGGATAGTAGTCGATCTTACAATCATAATCCTTTATCAATTCCAACTTTTTTCTCTACCTTAGATTCAGTTCCTTCTGATCAAAGATATACTTTAGAATTTTATGGCCGATAAATATTTGACATTTCTTACCATAAAGATAGTGCCTCCAAATCATTAATGACAACACCACTACAACTAACTCCAAATCATGAGTTGGATAATTTAACTCATGCTTCTTCAATTGTCTAAAAGCATAAGCTACAACTTTCCCACTCTGCATTAGAACACAACCCAATCCTTGGCGTGAAGCACCACTATAAATCACAAACTCTTCAACTGGAGATGGAAGAGTAAGTAAAGGAGCAGAAACTAATTTTCACTTCAACTCTTGAAAACTCTTTCGACATTCTTCAGTCCACACAAACCTGGTGTTCTTTCGAGTCAAACTAGTTAGAGGAAGAGCAATTTTGGAAAAATCCTCTACGAACCGACGATAATAACCTGCTAGCCTAAGAAAACTCCGTACTTCTGTAACATTAGTAGGGCATTCCCATTTTATTACTTCTTCAATTTTTTGAGGATCTACATAAATACCTCCTGCTGAGATAGCATGACCCAGAAATATAACTTTATCTAGCCAAAATTCATTTATGCTAAACTTAGCATACAACTGCTTATCTCGCAAAGTCTGTAAAATAATCCTCAAATGCTTAACATGATCTTCACGACTGCGAGAATAGGCCAATATATCATCAATAAAAAAATCAAAAATCTATCTAATTATGGGTGAAGCACCCTATTCATCAGGTTCATAAATGGTGCTGGGGCATTACTCAACCCAAACGGCATCACCAGAAACTCATTATGGCCATACTGTGACCTAAAAGCAGTTTTCTGCACATCAACATCCCTAATTTTGAGTTGATGGTACCCTGACTGCAGATCAACCTTAGAAAACACTATAGCATCTCGAAGTTGGTCAAACAAATCATCAATACGAGATGAAGGATACTTATTGCGAATAGTCACTTTATTCAGCTGTCTATAGTCAATACACAATCGCATTGTGCCATCTTTCTTCTTCACAAATAAGACCGGTGCCCCCCATGGAGATACCCTGGGTCTAATAAAACCCTTGTCAACTAAATCTTGCAACTGAACTTTCAATTCCTTTAACTCTGCTGGAGCCATTCTTTAAGGTGTATGTGAAATAGGGATAGTCCCTGGGATCAAGTCAATGGTAAACTTAATTTCTCTATCAGGAGATAACCATGGAAGATCTTCAGGAAAAACATCAGGGAAATCTCTTACCACTGGTATATCATCAAGTTTCAACTTAGTGATTTAAGTGTCAATCACATGAGCCAAATATGCAAGACAGCATTTTCTAAGCAATCTCCTAGCATCAAGTACAGAAATAATATATGAAGGTAATATTCTCCGTTTACCACTAAAAACAATTTCAAGCTCTTACGGCATTTTGAACACTACCTCTTTGTGTAAACAATCAACTGAAGCATGATTTGCAGCTAAGAAATCCATGCCCAATATCACATCAAAATCATGAATATCAAGTGGAATCAAATTAGCTCTCAACTTATGGTCATTCACTCTAATCACGCAATCCTTGTACACTTTGTTAGCTAAAAGTAAATGTCCTATTGGAATAGCTACCACTAAATCACTGTCTAATGGTTCGGTCATAAGGTCTGCATTAATAGCAAATGCATATGATATAAATGAATGTGTAGCACCAGAATCAATTAAAGAACGAGTATTTTTGCCAAAAATAGATAGCATACCTATGACTACATCTGGGGATTCTTCGACATCATGCTGAGTCACTATAAACACTCTTCCCTGAGTCCTGGGATGTCTTACCTGACCTTTCTATCTAGAACCACTATTGCTAGCAACATCAAACTGAATAGCCCTAGTGGCACCTGCTTTACTTGCCAACGTGTCCTGGTTCTGATTCTGTTTGGAAATACCAACACCTGATCGTAAAGATGTCCCTTGTGATACACCACCTTGCTGAAAATGAACTAGACATTCTCTCCTCAAATGCCCAATCTAACCACAGTGATAACAAACCCCAACGCCCTTAAGGCACTCACCAGGGTGAAATTAACCATAAGACTGGCACTGAGGAAACCTAGCAACACTGGAGCTATCACCCTACCTAGGAGTAAATGATCTCTAGAAGGATCCTTGTGTCTGAAAACGACTACTCCCTAACTGCTGCACAGATCTCTGACTGCCATGAGATTTGGATTTGAAGCTGCCAGATGTGGAAATACCTAATCTACCTCCTCTGCGATCCCTTCTCAGTGGTCTATGGTCTATTCATTGAGACTCCAGCCCAGTGATGACTACCACCAACTCTAGGCCTCATTTGTTGCTGACCGTTTTGTCGTTCTAAAAAACTTTTCTCCATTCACATCGCTGCTTCTACAAGTTTACCAAAATTCTCATACCTTATTGGAGTCACCACGGATCTGATTTCTTCTTTCAAGCCTTGTTCAAACCTTCTGCACTTATCAACTTCATCGACTACAAGGGCCGTAGCATACTTTGATAATTCTACAAACTTTTTCTAATATTCTGTCACTATGGATGTCTACACTAGTTTCAAGAATTCATTTTGTTTGTCATTCTTATGAACGAGGGCAATAATACTCATTAAAATCTTCTTTAAAATCAACCTACATGATCGCAGAAGGATCAACATATTTACTCTATACTGATCTCCACCAATCATAAGCACCTCCTTCTCACAAGAAGGTTGCCAAAAGTAATTTTTGATATTCGGGACAATGCATAACATCAAATACTCTTTCAATCCTTACCAACCAAGATTCAGCTTATGCTGGATCAGCAGTGCCTATGAACACTTTAGCTCCTAATTTAGTTGCTCGCTCTATGCTATATTCTTTATCAGAACTACGTAAAGCAGAAGTAACGACAGTAGCAATTTTTTCAGCTATAGGATCAAGTTGAGCTACATCCCCTTGCAGTCGTTGCTCATAAATTTGATGCACTGATTCTTCAACTCTATCTCTATCAGGAGCAACTTGTGGTTGAGGCGATACATCTTGGAGCCTACGAGTCTTATTACCACGAGCCATGACTTCCAATCACAAAATATGTATGATATGATGAGAACAAAGTCAAAAATAAATGCAAAGCAAACTGATTTTGATATGATCCAGGAGTCGAGTCCGACGAAGGCAAGTGCGAGACGAGACCCGTTGATAGTCGATGACGGACCAATGAAGCGATCAAGGGCAAAGCAAGTGAAACAAGTGATGGGATTGCTCATTCAAGAAACCATTGATGGAACCATGTTCGGAACTCAAAATGGAGCAACTTTCATGTTTGGGTCGAAGGTCGAATTAACTTGGATCAATGTGTTATCAAGCGATGAAACAAGAGGCTGAAAACAAGCCTACGGCCGCACAGTGGCATACCGAAAACAAATATTGCATTTTTTGTTGAACCATGCGACTACATGGAATTACACCATGTGGCCGCACAAGCCAAAAAAATTGGCAAATTTTCTAATTTTGACCGAATTTCCTAGTTTCGATAGAATTCTTATGAAATCAAATTATTACCATAATTTGATGGTTTTGGACGTTTTTACTCCTTAGTATAAATAGGATAATACTTTTCATTGTAACAACTTTTGACTTTTGCTTGATTAATATTATAGAGAGAGAAATTTATTCTTTCAATTTCTTGTTCTTCTTGAACAATCTTGGAACTTATCAAGATTCAATTTCTTGTGGCATTCTAAACAATCAGATTGTGGGTTCTTTTAATTGTAATCAAGGGGTTTTAGGTTTTTCGCTAATCTAGGGTTTCTTGGTTCAATTCTTGGGGTTTAAGATCTAAAATCGGGTTAGTATTAGCGTTCTTGGATTCCGCATCAATCTCGTTGTGGGTTTCGTAGTTTCCATTGCTACGGGGTTCACATCAGTTGGTATCAGAGCTTTGGCTCCAATTTAATCAGGTTAAATCCTTTGTTTTCTAATTTTTTTCAATTTCTCGTGTTCTTGTGTCCAGAAGGTTTTCTTGATCCTTTGATCCAAAAGTTTCATAAAAAATCTTCAAATTCCGTTTCTGGACTCAATTTTCGCCCAAATCAGTTTTCATTTTCTTTGTTGGTTTTGTTATTGATTTTCGGATCTAAAAAAAAATTTACTGTTCATCTGTACGGTACTGTTCATCCGTACAGTTAAAAAAAAGAAAAAACTTGTTAAATATTATTGATCCATTAAATACCAACTTTTATTATTCATGATCATTTCTAAATTACTTGGACACATTGAATCATTCCATTCCTTCAATTCAAATCAAGTTTTAAAAGTTTTCTTTGAGTCCTTTGTTACAATTATTGAGTCACATCCGGTTTGGGGAATTCTACACGAATTGATTGATTGATTGAGTTCATTGATTGTTCCTAAAAGCAATTGTTGAAAGAATTGAGTGGTAAAAGGTAGAAAGGTGAGCTTAATAGAGGGTAAAAGCCCTTGTGTGTGTTTCGAGTGACTTTTGGTGAGGCAGTAAAATAAAATTTTAGTGTTAGGATGTCAGAAAGGGCAGAATCAAACTCAATCCGACAAGGCAATAATAGCAATGCTTCGGAGGATTTAGTGCATAGGTTTGAGAGGGCGTTTGGAGATGTGAGAGATAGGTTAGAGAAGCAGGAGGCTTGGATAAATAGATTAGATACATCGATGGCTAATCTTAGTCGGGGGCATCGAGTGGATGTATCCAATGCCAGAGGACCGGATAGATCGTAGCCTAGGAGGGAAATGTAAGAGGAGTATGAATATGGGAGTGAAATGGGCGAAGATGAATTTCACGGTGTTGAGATGGGAAGGACTAGGAATAGAGGTGATAGGTTCGACAGACGGGGTCAGAATGATCGCGGGGAGGAGTTGGATGGAAATTTGGGAAATATAAAAGTGACAGTTCCTTCATTCAAAGGAAGAAGTGATCCCGAGGCATAC